TTAAGTATTCTGAAGAGAGAAAAAAAAAGACATAAAATACTACTTAAATTAAGAATGTTATTTAAGAGATAATTTTTTAAAAAAAAATTAAAATTTTTAAGATTAAAATAAAAAAAAAATTTAATAGATACTAATTTTAAAAATATATATTTTTTAAAAACTAATTATTTATTTAAGATTTATCACTCGAAACAATATTTCATGTGACAGGTACGTTATTGATCATCATTTGCTTAGTCATCACTTGACTCTTAGTTAATAAAAACTATCTTAAAAAATAAATTATTGGAACTAACTCCAATAAAAAAATTCATAAAGACTAATTTTAAAAAAGCGTATATTTATAAGGATTATTTACTAATTTAAGCCATAATTTTAATTATATAATTATGTGTATATATTTTTAATAATCTTCTAAACAATATAATACAAATTGATAATTGTACATTTTCATTTCTTCTTATTATTATTTTTCTTTATTTTTTGAGTTTTGGATTTTTTTTAAAATTTATTTTTAGTGACCTAACTTAAACACACGTTTAGAAGCCCCTTTCACGCCCGTAAAATATAGTATGAGGATGAAAAAAAATGTCAAAGTAAAAATTGAAGATAAAAAAGATAAAAAGAAAAGGATATTAGAAATGAAGAAGCATAGAATGTTCCCTGTCTGTGGCACCAGTCACCATTAGAGAGTACAATATTACATATAAACACACTTTCTTATGCGCTTAAACAGTTTTTCCTTACCTAACAACTGGGTGAGATCAATCACATTAGACCAATCATATCATTCACCGACTTAATAGTTAGCAACCGACATTTATACGTTGAGAAGAAGATTATCAACACAGTTTTTTATTATTAATTAAATTATATTAAAAATTAAAAAATATAAAAATATAAAAATAAAAAGTATAATACACACATCGATCCCTTGAAATAATAAAAAATAAATAAAAATCTTACTACATGATCATGTTACTTCTCCACCTCTGTGTCGGTCTCTTTTTATGTACACATAGATATATTTGTTACTCTGATCATAAAATTATTTGACTTAGAGAGTTGGGGCTTAATTAAGCGTCAGCAAAATAAAAAATATATAAAAAAAGAAAAAGAAAATATATGCTCCCATTGATTCCTTCACGATTTAAGGTTGATTTGGGCATAAACATTGCAAAATAAATATAAATTTCTCAAAGTGATATTACGCGCTAAAGCTCAAAAGTCGGCATCGATAGTTTATTGTACCAATTTTTAAAAATACAAAAATTTTCTTTTATTTAGTTCAACATTATTAGTAACTGACTTCCCGTTTATAGATTTACAACGGGTAGTAGCCATGCATATGATGTGAATTTAATAAAAAATTAATATTTATTTTAAAATAAAAAATAATATTTATTGAAAAATTAAAGATAGCATTGTTTATAATAATATCCTTACATATACTTAATTTTTAAAAATTTTAGATACATATTGTAAATGAAAGGAAATAACAGTAAGAGTTATATTAAAAAGTTAAATAAAATTCAATCTAAACAAGAATAATATTAAAAAATTTGTTTTTTTTTATAGTATTTAAATATTTTTTTTAAATTAATTCTTAAATTAATATTATATATTAATTATTTGTGTCAACTTTTAAAAAATTAAATACTAATAACTTTAATTATATATATATATATCACATTATTAATGCATTTAAACTAAATTATATATATATATATATATATATATATATATATATATATATTGTTCTGTTTTTTATTTAGCTAAATTCACGAAAAGAATAAGACCAGTATGAAAAGGAAATAGAACAATTGACAAACCCAAATCTCAACACTCCAAATTCACTCACCATTACCGGTATGAAAAAAAAGTAATTTTCAGGTTAAGTTAAAAATGATTTTGACATTGATTAATAAATTAATATAAATATAGATGATACAGTAAATATAAATATTTTACATCGTTTAAATCAATCGAGATAGAAAGTTTTTTTTTAATATTTGACAATAATATCGTTATTTTGTTCACGGCTTAGCAAATAATTTTTTAATAATATCAATATTTGTTAATATTTATTTATGATTTAATTTTTGTTGAGTTTAAAAATAAAAATATATATCATTAATATTTGTTAATACAAAATAAAGTAAAATAAAATTATTAATTTACTTAGTAAAATTTTATGTTTATTAATAAACAACAATGCTAACAAAAATTTGAGAATATAAATAAGAGTTTATATTTATTAATGATATAGTCAAAAATACTAATATAAACTTGACTCTGAAATATTTTATTTTAAATTAATTTTACATTAATTCAAAAAATAATCGATATAAAAAATTTTGTAATTTTTTATTTTTATAATCATAAACTTTAAAAGAGTGTAACTTTAGTATAGAACTTTGATTTATATAAATTACATGTGTATTTTATATGACGTTTCAAGATTTATATATAATTTTAATTTTATTTTATTTTTTAATTTTTTACTGTTTTTTTACTGTATACATTAACTATTTTGATAATTAATATTAAAAAATTTCTACTGTTTTCAAAAATATTATTGCACTTTGTCATATTAATTAATTATTAACTTGTATGAAAACTCGCTGCAGAAAGTTTTTTGTCTATTTAGTGCATTATGGGTGAAGCGGCACACTAACAAACGATATGTTAGATGGTAGGGTCGTTCCTTTGTCTCTAATGTTTTGTGATAAGAAAGGGTCCAAAGGGTGTTAGGAATAGCAATAGCAGGAGACAAACTTGCCATAGTCACAATTCACATACCAAGCGTTTGGCCCTTTTCTTTTAAATCTGATTCCCTGTCTTGTAATTAATGCACTTTTTTTTTAATTTCTTTTCTTTTGCCAATCGACAACGGCAACTAGCATTCAAACAAAGATAAATTAGTATTCTTCGAAATAAAGGATTTAAATTAATAAACATTATTGAGATGCTAAAATAGGTTCTTAATTCATGTCATATATGTTAAGTTCTTTTATTTTACACTTGTATTTATTTTTATGATTTTTTCACAAGATGTGATATGATTATTTTATATCTTATATAACTGATTTAAATAATGAAATGTAAATTAAAGAAGGCGTACTACTATCATTGACAGTGTAATTGCCTCAATCAATCATCTATTTCCTTTTAAGTTACTAAGAGAGCCACTTTGGTTTATTTCGTAAATGCAAAAAAATTCAATAAAAAATATTGTTAGAATGTTTGTTTTAGTATTAAAAAGGGTGAAAATCAATTATCAACTGTAAACCAAACAATCTTAGGAATTTGACTTTTGAGGGAGATGTTTTACAACTTTTTTAAAAAAATGTAGAAGCATATTAGTCATGTAACTTGTTGTATACATTTAAGCTATATCTATATGAACAAAATGATGGAAGAACAAGTGTCAAACTCAACTAAAACTTGTAAGCGTGAATATCCTTCTGTAGAAGTTGTTGCCCTAGGCAGCCAAAAAGTCATTTGAACCTTGTTTTTCCAAAATAAATCCATAACATATTATAATTGTTTTAGGTATGCATGACAAAATCAAATTCAACAAAGTTTGACCAATGTGATTTCATTTCTCCAAATCTTTTATTGCACTGAAAAACCATTTGCTCTCTACTAGATGACTTGACTTGCACCCTATACATATATATATGGTACTTTTTACGTTCAAAAGCAGAGAATACAAGTTATCAACTCACATCTTTCACATTACTGTTTTTAGAATATTTAGTTGTTAAGAGCTCATAATACTGTGTATCACATGACTGTGCTTTTATACTAGGATTGGGACTCTGGTGACAAAATTTAGTGAACTGAGTAAAAAAACTTTTATTAAATTTGAACTTGTAAAAATAATTCTTACTGTTTTGTCTTGAGTAAGTTTTTGGAAGAAAAAATAAATACTTATTTAATAATAAATTTTAATTGAAAGCTTTTAGATGAAATGAGGTGATTTTGTAATTTTTTAAAAAAAATTTAAATGCATAACTCATTAGTCACCTTAAATTTATGCCTATGCTAACATGTAGGAAACTGTATTAAATAATTTACTAGAAGATATATTATTCAAGATGTATGAAAAAAAAGAGTTAGCCTTAACTCGAACGATCAAAATTAATTTGAATTGTCTTCTTATATTTTGACTCTATCTACTTATGTAACGATGGATGGAATCACTCACTGTCAAATGTGTATAATTAGATGGTGGTGTGGTGTGTGGGTAAAACCTTCAAAATGTTTTTGGTGCGGTGTCTGGTATTCCCAGTTTCCCTGTCGGTCCTTTTTCTGTCACCCTCTTAATTCGTGCCCCCGATTTTAAACCAAACGTTACTGGCGGGAAAACACATACTTTTCACACGCAGACAACTTCAGGAACATTAGAAATAAACCAAGATGTTCTCGATCTATTTTTAGGCGAGTGAAGGGGGAAATATTAATGATATATAAAAGGAAAAATAATTGTTTATATATAATAACACTAAAAAATACAACTCAATTTTATTTATAAAAAATTATTATTTATATATTTTTGTATGAGAAATAAAATCTATTTATAATTCTATCATTTATTAATTTTTTTTGTTCTCTCGTCTTCTACTACGTTTCTGTATTACAAAACTGTTGTAAAAAATTGGTCAAGGTTTTAACAGCCTGATATAAAAACTAGTCTTTTACCCCACGTTACAGCTATTACTCGCTCTTTTTTCTTTTTTTTATTTTTGCTATTTTTGGTTCTCTTCTTTCAAAATAAAGAAAAAGGAATCGGTTTTATTGATTGAATTTGAGAGATCGATATAGAGAATAATTTATTTTATTATATTTGATGAGTTTTACAACCCCTGCAAATGCAGCAGGTTGAAAACTACACGGCATGCTTGTACTATTCATTGACAGGATCGCCTACATGCAGATCATGCAGAGCGCAGTGCTTTACAACTGTAAAAATACCCCCCAAATTCATAAACAAAATAAATAAAAAGCATAGAAACCAATCCTATTATAGAAAATAAATTAACACTTCTTATGAAATACAAAACGCGGAAACTTTGCTTCCATTCATCTCTTCTCTTTCGTGTATTATGAAGCGCTTCTTCCTTCCATCGCTTTCTTTATTTTCACATCATCTTCATATCCTACAAAAAAAACACGGACACATGCATGTTTTATTAGTGCGTCGGTCAATGTCATTGAATGGTCCCTCGATTAATAAAAATCAATCGAGAAATATCACTTTCCATGAAACGTTGATAAACCTTTATTAGAATCGCGACCAACTCATTTTTGGAAAACAGACATGAAAGTTTAGTTAATGGGAAGAGGAAAGTGTAGGAATTATTAAATTTAAAAGCTAGAATACAATCTACATTTGTTTTTAAAAAATTAAAATAATAATAATAATAATATCAAATGCGTAAAAGAATATGTTGGAAAGAAATAACGAGTATCATGATGCATTATTAAAATATAATAATGAAGGGAAATTAATTACCATTGAGAGGTATGGTAGACCAAGCGGCGTCTAATAGTGGTAAGGAGGGGGAGGTGAAGCATAGATGTAGTGAGGGGGTGGTGGTGGAGAGGGATACTTGTAAGGAGGTGGTGGTGGAGATGGGTACTTATAAGGTGGTGGAGGTGAGTGGTAAACTGGGTGGGGAATGTAAGGAGGGTGAACTGGTGGTGGTGGAGATGAGTACTTGTAAGGCTTCTTAGGTGGTGGTGGAGGAGATGGGTACTTGTATGGAGGTGGTGGAGGAGATGGGTACTTGTAAGGGGGTGGAGGAGGAGATGGGTACTTGTAAGGGGGTGGAGGAGGAGATGGGTACTTGTAAGGAGGGGGTGGAGGAGACGAGTACTTGTAGGGAGGGTGGGGGTGTGGGTGAGGGTGGGGATGAGGGTAAGGGTGAGGATGAGGATGAGGGTGAGGGTGAGGGTGAGGGTAGGGGTGGTGCACTGGAGGTGGTGGGGATGAATACTTGTATGGCTTCTTATAAGGTGGTGGAGGAGAGTGGTACACTGGGTGAGGGTGGGGGTGGGGGTAAGGGTGGGGCTGAGGGTGGGGGTGTGGGTGAGGATGAGGGTAGACTGGAGGTGGAGGAGACGAGTACTTGTATGGCTTGGGTGGTGGGTAAACTGGGTGAGGAACGTAGGGAGGGTGTGGGTGAGGATGGGGGTAAGGGTGAGGTTTAGGGTGGGGGTGTGGGTGGGGATGTGGGTAAGGGTGATACACTGGGGGCGGAGGAGATGAATATTTGTAAGGCTTCTTAGGTGGTGGAGGTGGTGGGGAGTGGTAGTATGGTGTCTTGGGAGGATACACTACATGCACTGGTGGAGGGGGAGAAGCGTATTTGTATGGCTTCTTTGGTGGTGGTGGTGATGGGTAGTGGTAAGGGTGCTTAGGAGGAGTGTACACTGGGGGTGGTGGTGAGTGATAGTAGTATGGCTTCTTTGGTGGAGGTGGTGGTGAGTGGTAGTAGTATGGCTTCTTTGGGGGAGGTGGTGGTGAATGGTAGTAGTATGGTTTCTTGGGTGGTGGAGGTGATGAATACACGTAGTTGTCTGCAGTGATTTGAGATGGCAAGCTTAGAGAGACTATCGCCAATACAAGAGTAAGAGTGGCCGAGGCCATTAGAGACCCCATTCTTTTTTCCCTCAACCTCACTACCAAGTGGGTTTTAGATATGCTCTTTGCCAACCTTGTGCCACCCCTTATATAGATTCTTTCTTTACCCTCCTCCCCACCAACTAATCATCTTGGTAAGTTTGTTTTCATTAAAACCCAATCACTTGTTCTCGTTTCTTGCTGCCTTGTTTCTTTTTTTTAAACAAAAGCTAATGATTTACCAAAAATATATCATTTAAAATAGAAAGTATTGTTGATACTTAATTATATTAAAAAAAACAGCAAGGGGAAAGTAAATATATAGAGAAAGCTACATTTCCATGTATTCATGTTCATAAAAAGAGAAATCCTTAAATTATGAAAATGGTCTATGTTTAAATAAAAAAAATCGATTATCTTTTTAACCTTTTGATCCAAGTGGGGTTTGGATTTGACGAAGGTTTCAAATTTAGCAGGGAATAAAGTAGCCAGTAACTGTGACATTGTGCTTTGAATTATTTTAACTATGTAAGGAGATCTTGCTAATAATTTTCAAATATTCAAACACGTGGTCATCTTCATTAAATGGTTAAGTATTCCTAATTTGTCATTTCTCTCCTTAAGACATGTCTCTCACCTTTGAAAAATGCATGTATGGTTTGCCTAACTTCGTGTGATATTTGTTTGGCATTGGAAGACTTCAAAAGACTTGTACTACAGGGCCCATAGCAGCCTCAATGATTTTTAATCTGTTTCCCTCTTTCTCTCTCTAATCAATCCATGTTCTAATTAGGACTCTAGACTCCGCACCATCTTAGGCTTGCACATTTTGCATGCAATTGCTTGAGTCCTTTTCGGATAAAGACAAGAGTAGCCTGCGACCCCTTTTACTTTCCAGCTTTTGATTTTTTTACTCTAAAGTATGTAACTTTGTTATAAAAATGCGAGTCAAATGTCTCGTACTTTGTACTCCCCTGTATATAACCAATTTTAGTTTTTTCAATGAAATGTGAAAATTTAAAATAAAAATTACAAATTTTTTATTAGAAAAACAAATAAAAACATAGAAATGTAAGGTCGTAAAACATGGTTAAATTTATCCCAGGATCAGATGACAATTTTTGTACCCTCGTTTTAAATTTTAAACAAATTAAGTAATTAAGGAAGTGTTTGGTTATTATGACAAGCAACAACTTACTGGAAGCAATCAAATAAAAATTTTGACTAGTTAACAGGATGCATGCTGTCGGTGATAATTTTCTAATAAGAGCGTGTAATGTTACTAATACATGAAGCGCGTTCATGTATTATTTGCCAAAATGTTATTAGATAGTTCATATTTGGATTTCGTATATTATTGCTCATATTTTATAACGTTGACTATATTACAATATACATACATCAAGCAGGATGGGCTTTCTCAAGTATGTAGTTAATCAATTAAATATACTGGATAACTTATTTAATTTTTTGTGCTTATCTTCTGTGGAACCTAAACTCTTTGTACGTCCACATAAATTATTAGTATGTATTAAATAAATGATTAAAAGATTTTATTTTTATAAAATACATTATTTGTCCGTAAAAATATAAAAAATTATTAAAATTACAATAAAATTAATATTACTCTCACACACAAGTGTTATTTAATTATTAAAATTTATTATTGTGTGCATTTCAAAATTTCAGTTGAATCGTTCTCTTTCATCTCTGTTACTCAACTCGATAAGATAATTCTCATCTTTAGACATGTTTAATGACCCATTAAATATGTTTCTTTAGCATAATAAAAAAAAAGAAAGAAAAATAGCATGTAATTTATTTCATTAAAAGTTGTTTAGAAAGGAAAGTTATAAAGAAGAAGAGAGTGAAAAGAAAATTTTGTCTTTCAACTAAATATATTATAAATTAATATATTAATATAAATTTAATGTATTTATTATCATAAATAATATATAATTCTTTTAATTCAAAATTAAAAATATGTCCTTCTCTTTCATTATCTCTAAAACTTCTCTCTCAAATATACCTTAAGAAAATTAAATCTTGACTTAAATATATTTTTACTCTTTATATTTTATAAATTTTTTTTGTTTTAATTCATCTATTTTTTGTTTTGATTCCTGTATTTTTGTAAATTATTATTATAAGTTCCTTGACCTGACATGGTCTAACTGAAAATGAACATTTAACGACATCTTAGTAGGCTAAATTAATATTAGAGCTATATATATAAAAAATTGTGAAAGAATAAAGACTAGAACAAAAAATATATATTTAAGAGACTAAAAATAAAAATTCAGTAAAATATAAACAATAAAAACATATTGAAGGCTTAAAATTTTTCTTACCCAAATTCACTTATGACATCAAATCTTAGTTATAATTAACTTGGAAAAGTAATTTTGTTAACATGAACAAAGTGAAAGCCAATTAGTTTACGCCACATAAAGAGGTCAGTTGCAGGGATGGGTTGAAAAAAGAGACAATATTTCTCAGCTTTATTTGAAAGAGTTAAAGATTCTTAAAAAAAAAGAAGGTAGAATATAATATATGACTCAGATCAATAAAGGGTTTCGAAGAAAAGTGGGGATAGGAGCTTATTTCATGCTCTTATATTAGTAAAATTCGATGGGAGCTACCCTTTGTCGATGCTCCATAGTCCATAGCGGTTGGTAAGCTTATAACTTTTGTTTCAATGTATCCCAAAATAGAAAGAGTCATTAGCTAAGCATCAACTACTCATCATACTGCTAATTATCATTAAACCGCGATTAATGTATAATATTCTAAAACAACAATGCCATCACTTGAGCATGTATATATCAATCTTGGGAGTTCCTATGCTAAATTGGTAATAAGATGTAAAACAATATGCCACAGATCTGTTTATTTCGTCATATTATCAGATAATGAATAATTATATTTGATACACACTTTATCTTTTATTTCTTCTTTCTTTTTTATCGGTTATCGTATTTTCTATCACTTTTATTTCTTCATACAAAATACTTTGAAAACTAGGCAACGATTCGTTGATTACTTGCATTAGTTTAATCAAGTCTAAAATGGGAATGACAGGTGGTTAATCTTAAATAAGGATTGACTAAGCAAGCATCTAGCAATACAATACAAAAAAGCAACCGTAGACACCAACATGATGTTTTTAGAGAACTTTATGCATATCATAAAAAGTAAAACATTTTATAATTCACCGTCACAGCGAATAAGCTATCAATTATGAACCTAGCAAGAAATAATATAAAGCTTGTGAATCATGGAAAAGAAAGGCACCAACTCAGCCAGAGCTTGATCGTATACGAAAATTATTTGAAAGAAGAAAAAAAAAATGTTTAGCTTTCAGATCCAGCTCTGCATATGTCTGACCATATATTTGACCCTTCACGATCACATAGATGTCATATTCCCATTGACCGCATGTCCTTTTCCAGTGTGAGAGTGAGACATACAGAGATAGCACTCTGTCTCAAGCAAATGTCATTCATAATAATTTTCCTATAGTTTATAGGAGTAGTAGTAGGTCACGACTAATCTAAATGAAAAATGTCTATTATGTATAGTCTCAAGATAAAAACATTATTATACATAATAAACATTATTAGAATGTAATAGATAATATATATGCATATATTAATCTACACTAATCTCTCTTTCTTTTAATATATCTAAAATAGTAGAAGAAGAAAAAGAGCAATCATAAGCTATTTCAGTGCTCGTCTAGCTGTGTTTTCTTGGGGTAAATTCCTTAACTTACATATGAAATGAAAGTGACTTGACAACACACCATTTGAAATTAACTTCTTTATATGAAAAAGACAGAGAGAACTTACTTGATTTCAAAATTATTATTATTTTGATTGTGTGGGTGTGTGCATATTGAATTGAGAAGTTTTATTTTTTACGTCAAATTAAATAAATTATAATTCTTTTTATCAAAACAATTATGTGTTTGGTTTCATATCTGACTAATGTGAATTTATGTTAATTTTAATGTTATTAGTTATAATTTTTAGATTATTTTATATATACATATACTTTTAGAATAATTCAAACGCGCATTAAAATAATCTGTTCTTGATAGTTCCATACACACTTTAGAAAGATTTCTGAGAAGAGCTTGGTTAAAATAACATTGTCCAAAGCCCAAAACTTGCATAATTTAAAGAAAAGAATAATAATTTTTATAGTTTCACTTTCTTATCTATTCTGAAAATAAACAATTTAGTGTGTTAATATATAATGTCCCTCAAATTACTCTGGATTATCAACAAATTAGTAGGTAAATTTATTAAAGAAATGATGTTTAATTTACACAAACATGCACTCTGAAACCAAAATAAAGTTACCTACCATTAGACGCTTCAAGAAAGAAAATGGATTCCAGGCCTGTCATTCAGTTTTCAACTGTGAAATGAAGTTAGCAATGTAATTATTATTAATTTTGGAACATTTTATTTATTTATTATCATAAAACAATTTCAAGGGATAAAATTTGGGTGCAGTTAAAATTTAAATATTTTTAAGAAAATGGATCTTGTCCAAACTTCAATAATGATTAATGGACATGAGATCTACCCAGCTAGCTGAAGTTTTGGTAGAGTTTTATACATCAAAAACATGATTGGCTTATCTGGGGAAGACTTTTGTTAGGTGTTCATAATCCTTGGGCCATACATATTCTATTGTGCCAACATGCATGGAAAATATAATAATGCTACTATTATTACTATATTATTATTTATAGGATACATGATTGATTGCTTAAACAAGTATTTAAATGACATTTGAATATAAAAATTGGTAGGGTAGTTAGCATGTGAATTTGGACAATCATCAATCAGGATGTCTGCAAGATGGGTGTACAATTCACTAGAGGCCACGCATCTTAAAACTAGAATCCACTTTTACAGCTAAATTAAAACGTGTAGACACCATGCAGCTCAAATTCTCGGATGTTCGTACAAATACCTCTCTGAATTAGGATTAATATACTATTTTTATCTGTTACTAAATATAAATATCATATGCAACATATCACATGGTCACTTGAATAATATAAACGTTTATAT